TTTCTGGTCTGATAAAAAGTCTGGTAATAGAAAATGTGCGGAATGCGTTGGAAATTTTTAAAAAATCATTAAAATATTTGGGAGAACAGCTGAGTCAAAATATCTCAGAATTTATCAAAACGATGTGGAAAAAAGAACCACTCGAAAAGTGAAAGATGTGTACTTGCGTGTAACAACGCAATATCAAAACTGGATAAATCATATATTAAACAAAAACTAATTAGTTTCTTCGTGAATATTAATAGTCCTTATCTTATTATTCTTGAAAATACTTAGTATGTTACATCTACTAACTATAACATACAAAGTACTGACAGAAACAGAAAGTGAAAGACTGACAATATACACAGAGAAAATAATAAGAACAACAAGGATTTAAAAATGAAATATCTATATTTAATTGACACGTTAAGGCAAATAATGGTAATGGAAATTATATAAATTACGACACAGAAGTACACTAATTGTTTGTAGGCTTAAACAAATGTTTGATAAGTTTAACAGAAAATTAATGATTGAAGACTTATTACTGAAATATGAACAACAACGAAACAAACAAATTGACAAGAATGGATAACATAAATGAACATGAGATATTCATAACCAATAATTGATATAGAAAATGGATAAATTAAAAAAAACTGAAAATGGTATACAATATCAACGAGATTATTTATTATTATAATACTTATTAAGAGTTTCAAAAATATATCGAACACAGGGCAGAGTAAAATAAACAAGAGAAATAAAAGCAACTCAAAAATTTTTAATCTAAAGCCTAATTGGATTGTTAATCAATGAAGTCAAAACAAAATATAGGCAGGTAGTCAGTAGACAAAAAGAATACAAGAAAGAATATAATTAATAAATATGTACCTAGTTATCAAAAGATTTTGAAGAAGTGGAAACGTAAATAATTAATGAGTACTGATGATATATATATATATATATATATATATATATATATATATATATATATATATATAACTATATATATATATATATATATATATATATATGTGTGTGTGTGTGTGTGTGTGTGAAGAGAAGAATTGGAGAAACAGTGCCTTTTATATATCTAAACAAAAATATATTTAGAGACAAACAGATAAAGCGAAAAACAAAAGTTAGCTAAATATACAAAACAGCAATACGACCTATTTTAATGTACACTTTAGAAACAAGCACATTCATTGCAAGAGAGAAATAATTACAATATCTTCTTCTTTAAGTGCTGTTTTCCAATCGGTGGTTGGATATCATCATTACTATCTTTACTTTATCTACTGCTGCTCTAAATAGTTCTATAGAACTGAATTTAAACCAGTCACTTAAATTCTTCAACCATGACACTCTCCTTATTCCTATACTCTTTCCTCCTCTTATCTTTCCCTGTATTATCAACCTTAGCAGTTCATATCGCTGTCCCCTCAATACGTGTCCCAGATACTGTAACTTTCTTGTTTTTATTGTGTTTATTATTTTGCATTTTTTGCCCATTACTCGCAATACTTCCGTGTTAGTTTTCTTCTGTGTCCATGCTATTCTAAGCATCCTCCTGTAATACCACATTTCAAAGGACTGTAACTTATTTATGTATTCTTGCTTCAATGTCCAGCTTTTAAGTCCATATTGCAGTATCGAAAACACGTAGCATCTCAGTGCTCTTACTCTCAGTTCTAATCTAAGATATTTGTTGCAGAGAATTGTTTTCTTTGTTACTATCATGTATTTGGTCTTTTTTATATTCATTAATAATTACAATATATATGTTTGAAAACAAACTATGGTCTGTTTTTTAACCAGGAGGAGTAATTCAAATTTACCGCGCCCTAATGCTTGTTTGTAATTGGTCCAACCAAAGGCAAGTTTACTCCACTAAATTATGACATATTGACACTAATGACATTTGTGAAATTTATTTATTATTATTTTCCTCTAATATATAAATCGATTTCTGACTTTTTAAGTTGTTTGTTATCACTTGGACTTGGTGATATGCGAATAGTACCTATTTAATGTGATATTTTTCTAGATGATATTTATACTAAATATAGTTTAAAGTGTTTATAAATGTATGTTATTTATATCTAATTATCATAAGATAAACGGCAACTATCTTTTACATTTAGTGTATCATTGGTAAGAAGCATTTCCATATTGTTTTAATCACAATAAAAGAACATAACATTAGTAAAGTAATGTTGTGTTTTAGTTTGATTGTATGATACAGTTGGTTTTGTTCTTCCTGGTTGTAGATCATCACAAGAAAACTGCAAAATTATGCAAGAATGTAACATAATAGATTGGATTTGTTGATTATCTCACAGAAATCCAGTATTTTTTAGTAAATTTTATTTGTTGATAACAAATTGGACAAACTCACTGTCAAAATTAAACAAGGATCTAGCATTAAAGAAATTGTCAGTACACACTTATTTATATAAAGTATCTGGTAAGAAAAAAACTAGATTCAAGAAATTGATCATACCAGAATAAGAATATGGTCTACTATTAAAAGAAAAATTTACATTACAACATTATTGCCTCTCCAGATAAAAATATTCTCTAAATTATAATTAAATACCATAGACTTAAGAGATCTATAAAACTGGATCACCCGATATTTAAATATATATACATGGGACCAAATATGAAAAAGTCCTTTTTTTATTGTAATATATATTGGAAGTGAACTGAAAAAAATTATTTTATTATTCAAACATAAAAAATAAACAATGTTAGGTTAAAATTGACGTGTGAGGTTGTCCAATATTGATTACTCGATTACCGCAAGGCCGAGATAATTAACAAAAAAAGAAGATGTATTTGGTGACTTTTCTAGTAACTTTCTTGAGTGTGAATCTGTCTTTTTGGTTTACTCCTCCTGGTTAAAAAACAGAGTATAATAAGACAAATGTTTGTAACTTGAAAAAACTAATGAATAAAACAATTTCAATGGCATTGATATTAATAAATATTTTTCCGACATATAAGTATTAATTTTCATGCCTTTCGTATTCCTACTCATTTTTTGTCAAAATTTTTGCTTGACTACATATTCCTTCGTTCCTTCGACGGAAATTTTAATCTACACGTTTATATTTATGTTATATTATCTTATAGTTCTTACATTAACACATATCTTCTCTCATTATCGGCAACTACAAATTTTCTGTATCAAATACCTATATATTTTACCGACATTATCCTGTCACTCTTTCTTAAAAGCTCTTAAACTTTCTCTTTAGTTTCTCTATTTTCTATTATCGTCAACTGCGACGTATACGTATATCTGGTTGATTACGAGAAAACGTTTAATCGAGTACAGCACGCCAAGATGATGCAAATACTCAAAGAAGCAGGAATTAACAACCAAGATCTGAAAATAATTAAAAAATCTTTACTGGAATCAGACAGCAAATCTCAGAGTTGAAGGTAAACACACTGACTATTTGAAAATCATGCGTGGAGTGAGGCAAGGCTGTATTTTGTCTCCTCTACTCTTCAATCTGTACCCTGAAAGAATATTTATCGAAGCTTTGCACGAAACTGAAAAAGGTATTCTACTGAATGGTTACCGGCTAAATAATATCATATATGCAGATGACACCATAATATTTGCAGACAACTTAGTTCTCTATAGAGACCTACAAGTTCTTAGGAACAAAATCAAGTATTACAGTCAACAATATGAACTCAATATAAACGTTAAGAAGACAAAGCTTATGATAATTAGCAAGAAAAGGATAACAGAAGGTCAAATCTACGTCAACCAATCCCCTGTAGAAAAAGTTACGCATTACAACTACCTCGGCACCATAATAAATGAAGAATGAACCAACAAGCAGGAGATTAGAGCTCGCATCGAAAAAGCTAGATCCACCTCCAATCAGATGGGGGCCTTCTTCAAGAGTCACAACCTCTCTCTTGATACAAAAGTAAGAATGCTGCGAGGGTACGTCTTCTCTGTCCTATTTATGGTGTTGAATCGTGGACCTTGAACGAAATGTGCAGAAAACTGGAAGCATTTGAGATTGGGCTATATCAGAGAATACTGAAGATCCCGTGGACTGACCAAGTCACAAATGAGGCGGTCCTCAGAAGAATGAATAAGAACCGGGAGGTACTGACCACCATCAAATTTCGAGAGTAACAATTCTTCAGACATATTATGCGAAATGCATTCATATATGCTCTCCTCAAGTCATCCTGCAAGGAAAAATATTTGGAAAGCGAGGTCCAGGAAGAAGAAGAACATCTTGGTTAAAGAACCTCAGAATCTGGTTCAATTCAACATCTGTGCAGTTTTTCCGCGCTGCTGCAGATAAGATAAAGATTGCCATGATAATCGCCAACATTCGTAACGGATAGGCACATCAAAAAGAAGAATTTGCAATCATATGAAATCCATTCCGAGTTTACTCTTTCTTTTTTACATACCTACTGCAATTTGTTTGGCCCACATATTTATTTCTCCGCTTAATATTTCCACTTCGTATCCCACAGAAAGTATTCTCCCTACTTCATACTCATAACACTTAAACTTACAAGACTCCAAGAGAATACTCTGATTTATTATTTATTTATACCTATTACACGTAAACAGTTCAATAATTATGTTAAGATTTATAAAATCTTTAGACTTTCAGAAATTTTTTCATTGCAGCAACGCCGCGAAGAGCTTAAATCCCCACAAACTAGTCCGAAATCGACGTTACCCCCGGTTGCGCTTATTATTCCCCTTTCTTATCGTCCCCTCACAACATATCCCTGTATACTTAAGTGTGTCGATGAAATGCGCCTGCGTTAACACATTGATCACCGATTCAGTAGGGTAGTTCAGCACCCCTTGCCAGGCCTTCGCGGCTTCGCGCGATTCAGTTTCAGCCATCACGAACCACAATCGCTTTACTTACGTACGTTACAAAAAAAAATTTTAAAAATATTAGTGCAGCGGCGGTGACAGGCTGGAACAGTGGTTGTAAGGTGACATTGGCATGAAAATAGCAGTTACGGGTAAGTTTTGAAACTTCTAAAGTGTGGTTAAACTTGTTTTAAAACTTATTGTTAAATTTTGTCTTAACATGTGATCATTTTTGTGTATTTTGCCAGCCTAAGTTGTTTTGTTAAAACGTATCGTGACAGAAAAGCTTCTAAATTGATTTAAATTTAGTAAGTTAGTTACGCGGTTGAGTATAAGTACTTAGATATTAAATAAAATCAAATAATCAATACGGTAGGGTTAGTAGCGCGCGCACTTTGCCAATTGCAGTTCCCTTTTTGGATGTCTCGTGCAAGGGTTGGGGGGTGTTTTAATACAAACCGGAGCCGTCAGAGATTTAATAAGTGTAAACATTTTGTGGTAGTTTTATTATTGTTTAAACATTACTTCAACATAAAGTAATAATATATTATGTACAGTTGATTTATTGTCTTACAACCATGTGTTTCAAACATATTCTGGTAAGTTGTTTGTATAATCGGTCATAGCAGCTGTTTTTGACAATAATACAGAGTTATCCATTGTGTTGTTTTCCCTCTGAATTACCGAAAGTAGACAGGTCAATTTTTTAGTTAATTTCAAGATATTCTTCTGTATAATAATAATCTTTATTAAAAGTTCAAGATGGCATATCTATTAGGTATATTCGGTGGAATATTTGTATATTTCTTCGTTGAATTTGTCCTTAGACAATCAGCAGTAGTTCTTTACATTTAATCTTAATTCTCATATACGTGGTAAAAGTCAAACTTTTTCCTTGTATTTCCAATATAATATAGCCGCAGCCAATATTTCCACAGGAATGATTACTTAAAAAAAATAAAATTTATCTATTGACTATCACCATAGTAAAGGCAAAGAGTATAAGCATCTATATTCTTTGGTAAAGGTATTACGAACTTCTGATTACAATCAAAGAAATTTAATTTTCTTACAAACCATGAATATTCTTGATAATGTTGGAACAAGCAGTTATTTTGCGAATAAAATACAAACTTACCAAAATTCTTATATTTAAATTTTTTTTAATTGTACATTTTAAACATTTTTTATGATATGGAATTATTTTTACAGTTTAATTATATATTTTATTTTGATTAATATTTAATTAATTGTTTGATAATCAAAAAATGCTGACAACTAAATATTGGGACAAGGAGTTTTTAACAAATTAAAATAAAAATTAATAAGGCGTAACGTCGCCCTTAGCTTGAATAACAGTCTGAACTTCTATGAGGCATTGTATCAACTAGGCCTTCACAGAAATCATAGGTGAAACTATCCTATATTTCTTGCATTTTAGCACATAATTGTGACAAAGTACGCTGAGGGTTATTTCTTAGACATTGTTTCATTTTGTGCCAAAGTATCTCTATTGGATTAAGATCCGGGCTGCTAGAAGGATATGACAAAACTTTAATGTCTTGTTCTCCCATCCATTTTTTGGTAGATTTAGCCGTATGACGTGAGGCTCCGTCTTGTGGAAAGATAAAATATCCGGATGGAAATAACTTTGTTTTTAATGTTCAAGAATATCTTGATATTTGGCTGCGTTTACTATGCCTTCAATAAAATGTTGTTTCCAACCCTTTGGCTGACATACAACCCCACACCATAATACCTACCCTGTGGAAACTTTATAGTCCTTTTGAGACAATCCATATGGAATGATTCTGTTTTTTTCCCGAATCACATGCTTTCGCTAATCCCGCACGCAGACATCAAATTTGCTTTCGTTACTATAGATAATTTTGTTCCAGTTATGTTTGGTCCACGAAAGTTTTGATTTAGCCCGAATGTAACGATTCCTTTTTTGAGTTTCCGCCAACAATGGTTTTTCTTCGGCCTACTCGAAAAAAATCAAAAAATATAAAATTTATATCGTTAAGATGAACCTATCAAACATACCTTAAAAAAGCTAAAACCGCTTTTGTGGATATATTTGCGACAGCATTCTCTGGAAACATTCATCCCAGTTTCTCTATTCCACCTAGCAGTTACTTCTCCTAGTGTATTTCTTCTTCCCGACGTACATATTCTAATTAACTGCTTTACACTCCTTTGGAGAAACAGCTTTTGCACGACCTCAGCTTTTGCCGCGAACATCAATACTGTCAGCCTTACAATATTTCTTAATTATATTAAATACAGTAGTTGTTGCTACAGTCAATTCACTGGAAATTTCACGCATTGTTTTCCCTTTACACTACTGATGAATAATAATTTCTCGAACTTTTCGATCAGTACGGTTTCCACGTGTCATTATTATACATACTCAAATGACGCGTTACAATAATTATTGTTGTAAACACACTACTTAGTCGTATGTTTGATTTGATTTCAAAGAATTTTTGCGTCAGGCTGTTAAAATTTAAGAAACGTGAGGAAAAGCAAAAAATGTTCCAATATTTATTTGTCAGCAGTTTTAGATTATTAAACAATTAATTAAATAGTAATCAATATTATAAAATATATAATTAAACCGCAAAAATAATTCCATACATCATAAAAAATGTTGTTAATTTCATATTTACAATTAAAATAAAATGAAATAAAATAATTTCGGTAAATTGGCATTATATTCGTAAAATAACTGCTTGTTCCAATATATAGTTGTTAGGGCTCGTATATGTATCTCAAATATATAAAAAATACGATGCATTAGATAGATATAAGTAGGTACCTTCATCTTTTTCAATCCATATTTTGCATATCCATTATTTTGTTTGATCTATATTCTGTCTCGCAGTGAAATAACAAGAATCACTCCCACCACAGTTGTATCTGTCTTGCAGTAAAAGAGTATTCAGATTTTCTTATTCTTCTCGTGTATTCTGGGTATTATTTATTCGTTGACATTGTCTATTGTTTATTTGTTTTAGTTGATCTATCAATCTTAATGTAATGTAGTAGATAGATGTATTCTAGGGTCATCCACCCACACCTCTACTGAATTTAAATTGTAGGTCCACAAATGTCTTTGAATAGACACGTTATACCTATTCAGTATATTTTTTATTAAAATTAGTAGATACCATGCAAATGGTATATTTTTTGTTGTTCATTAATGTTGTGCATAGGAGGGAAAGAAATGTACATATAATTTTTAAATGGTCTCCTTGTTCACTACAACCTGTATTCTAGTAGTTTTTTATTTTTATTACCTTTATTCATCATAATATAATTTTAATCTTAGCACTGTCATTCTGCAGTTATTTTCGATAGTGTTTTTATCATTTTGTACTGTTTGTTTTTTTATCATCTCTGATCTCTTTCTGCCTGTTTATTTATTTGAAACGTGTATATTTTAAGGTTGTCCTTGTTCTCATTCCTTTTATCTGCTTCTTTTGTCTGTTGACACTTGCAAGAGTACAGTGACATCATGGTTCTCCATTATTGTCTGTCGTGCGCTGCTAGAGCATCAGTGTGTAGATAACGGCCAATAATTCCTCTCCACGCAGCGTCTAGGAGACCTTCCTCGCCGTCGTTTGCAATTAACTTTATTTTACCCTCGACGATCAGTTTTTCTAGGTCTTCTGTACTTCTCGCTGTGTGCCTAAAGTATCACACATAGTACTGCTTTATTTTTGTTCACAGGCGTGTGTTGACATTTAATTTCTTTATAATTGAAATGGTGCGATGGGCTCTGTATGATATTAGCAAAATTTTTCTATACGCCCAATTCTCGAAGTCATTTATTTTTTTCGGTTGGCAGCTTTAACGTCCTTGTCTCAGATGTATGTGTCGCAATATGAAAAATTATTTGTTTAATAGTATTAGTTTACTTTATCTTTTCATACGAGAGTTAGTTGTATAATTACCTTACGCGCTACTGCAGTCCGCAGTCTTTCTGATGTTGGATAGACTGCGGTTTATTTTCATGATTTTAGTTTCATTTACAGTACACCTTGCTCATTATTTGGTCTAGTTTCTTATCTTCTTCTTCTTCGTATGTTAGGGCGTTAGGGCCTTCTTGCTTAAGGCCTGTTGTTTCCGGTCTGATTTAGCAGTATTTGCGATGTTGACTTCCAGCTATCTCTCCATCTTTTAGAGGGTCTGCCTTGTGGTTTTTTTGCCTTCTTTGGTGCCCCTATCTGACGAATCACGTACTTCACACATATCTGTGATTTGTGTATAGGGATTCTGTCTCTTAAACTTATACCTGCTATCGTCCTCAGTGTTTTGATCTCTGTGATTCTTAAGATTTTCTTTGTAATTGTTGTTTCTGCTCTTGTTTCTACTTCATAGTTTAATATCGGGCATACATAAGTCTTATGTGTTTTCCTTTTATTGTACGCTGCTTTATTAGGTTGTATGCGGATTCTTTCGGAGATGTTTCCATAATGCGATATTTGTGTTCTCAGATAGTTGACTTTCGATAATTGTTCTATTATTTCTTCGTTTATTACAATTTTGCATCTCACCTAGCAAGATGCTAGGCTCCCTAGCATCTTGCTAGGCTCCCTAGCAATAACGAGGACTTTGTTTTTAGTGCTGATATTTTCAGGTTAAACTTTTCTGCGTTATGGAATCATTATTGCTCTGTTGCACATTTTGTATCCAATTCCTGACTTTTTTACTTTTGTTAGTTTGTTCATTATCAAGTTAAATAATAACGGGCTGAAGCTATCACCCTGTCTTATACCTGATTGGAATTTACTTTATGACGAATATTGCGTCTGTACACGATCTTCCAATATGAAAACCCTGGTGTTTATATGCGTTATCCTCTGATTTATTAGTACTTGTCAAATTTTAGTTGTAAGTTTTAGGGTAGTATTTAACAAGTTTATACTTCTGTAGTTATCTGGCTGGTTTTTATCTTCTTTTTTGTATAGTAGAATTAGTTCGCTCGTTCTCCATTCTTCCGGTATTTTATTGTGTTTTATAATTTTGTTAATTAATGTTTTTAATTGTTCTGTCATTGCTGCTCCACAATATGTCAGTAGTTTATTTGGTATCCCGTCTTTACCTGCTGCTTTTCTCTTCTTCAGCTTTTCAAGTATTTTACGAACTTCCCTTACATTTATATTAAGTTCTTCATTTGTGCTAATTTCTGGTGTTTCCAGTTTTATCGTCGTTTGTTCTTGTTTTGCTTCTATTAGTTGCTTTACCTCCGTTGTTTGACCTTTTATGAAGCGCCATATTTCCTTTTGCATACCGTAAAAATCATGTTCGATTTCTTTCGAAAACCGTTTCCAATGATTATTTTTTATTTTTTTTATAAGTGCATGTGTTTAGTTTCTAATTGTGTTGTAATTATGGTATCCCATTCTGTTCAACATTATGGAGTTCTTCGCCTTGGGAACGATTTATTTTTATTTATATTTATTTCACCAAGAACTTCCTTGGCTTAGGCTAAGATATTAGACTTAATTTTTGCCCAGTTTTCTTCGACTGCATCACTTTCTGTGATGGAGTTAGTATCATCAGTTTGTTAAACCACTTCAACACTTCACTTTCTCAAGGTAATACATGGTCGTATCTACAATAAATGTGAGGAATACCTGGATGACACTCAGTTTGGTTTCCGTAACGGGTTTGGAACGAGAGAGACACTTTTTGGTATGAACGTACTTGCTCAAAGATGTCGTAATATATCTGTAGACATGTACTGTTATTTTATTGACTTCCAAAAGGCATTTGATCGTGTTAAGCACTCTATATTGATTGATGCTCTAAAAGACATTGGCTTGGGCGGCAGAGATGTTCGAATAATTGCAAATTTATATTGGAATCAAACAACATCAATTTTAGTAGATGGTGTGGAATCACAAGCTCTTAATATTAAAAGAGCAGTACGGCAGGGATGACTCTTGTCACCCCTGCTTTTTAATGTTTACTCCGAAAGAATTTTCAGAAAAGCACTTTCTGAAAAACAAAAAGGAATACTTGTGAACGAGAAGTCATCAATAATTTGCGATATGCGGACGATACAGTACTCCTAGCTTCTAGTCAAGAAGATCTGCAAACACTACTTGATAGTGTCGTTGAGAGTTGTAGGGATGCAGGTCTGGATCTTAACATAAGGAAAACCAAAATACTCGTAATAAGTAAACAACAGGATATAAAACCGTCTATATAAATACCAAACCGTAAATAATACCAAACTTGAGCAAGTTGATAAAATCATTTACCTTGGACAGCAATTAAATTGTAACGCAGAAAATCACGGCGAAATTAGATCCAGGATAGAGCAGGCTAGAGCTGCTTTTAGAAGGATGTCCAAGGTGTTATGTAACAGAGACCTAAAATTGGCATTAAGGATCCGCCTACTTCGCTGCTACGAGTTCTCGATCTTACTTTATGCTGTCGAGTTCTGGACTGTGAATAAAATCGATCTAAATCGCCTTGAGGCTTTCGAAATGTGGTGGTATAGAAGAATTTTAAAAGTTTCCTGGGTGGAGAAGATTCGAAACTCCACAATACTAGAACGTCTCAGCAAGACTACTGAGATCATAAAAAGCATCAAGCAGAGAAAGCTAGAGTATTTCGGACATGTAATGAGAGGTCCCAAATATAGGTTGCTACAAAATATGCAAGAAAAAATAGCAGGCAAACGCAGTCCAGGACGAAGAAGAACCTCATGGTTGAAGAACTTGCGAGATTGGTATGGTATTGATACAAGCATGCTATTTAGGGTGGCAGTGAACAAGATTACAGTAGGTATGATGGTAACCAACGTTCTGAAAGGACATGGTACATGAAGAAGAAGTTAGTATCAGATGGAGATCATCAGAGTATCGTATTACTTTGATAGTAGATTTATGCTTTCCGTTTTTCATGGGCTAAAGTTTTAATTTCGTTGGTGAACCATAGTTTGATCTTCCTTTTACCATTTACATTAACCTTCTATGTTTCCATGCTTTCTTTAGCAGCGGTTATGTTCTTTTTTATGGTTTCCCATCTTCAATCTAAGTACTTCATTTTCTTCGTTTTCTTAAAATTTTTCTTGCAATCGTCTTCTAGCCATGGAGTAGTTTCGTCTTCTAAGGTCTAGATATTTATTTTTTTCATATATTTTGGGTATATTCATAGTTTTTCTTTAGTCTTATTTTTATTAAGATTTTTCCTAAAACCATAATGTGGTCTGATCCTACGTTAAGTGGTGTTCTTGTTCTGATATCTAATACCTGTTTAAGGTGTATTTGCTTGCTAGTTATTACATAATCTATAGTTGATTTATGTTTATGTTGATTTATTAATGTTAACGACCGAGGAGGCCTTGCATTCTCATAGTCCTCCTTTGCCGGAAATTAGTCTCCGATACCATAATCATTAGTATCTCCTGCGCGAATATTATTGCAGTCATTTCTCCTTGCCTTCGATAACTTTCTTAGTTCTTCCGCGTTTGAGACCAGTTTCTCAGTCTCAGAACAACAATATGCCCTTTCACATACCAGCTCCTTCGCCCGGAGCCGTTGGCCAGTAAATGGTGGATTGCTTATTTCGGCAAACGCTCGAATGTTGTCGTTAGTTATCTAGCAGGATGTACCAAATGACCATGATCTAGATTATCAGATGAGCAAGTGAGGTTGACATTTGAATAAGAGTTTTTATCTCATGTCAACGGTTAAGTAAGAGTATTAAGATATCATTTCACAATGTTTTATTTCTTCTGTTTGATGCATTTTCGTTCACTTTTTTGTTTCTTATATGTAACGCTATCAAAAACATTTCTTACCTCAAAAATCATTTCGTTAAATTTGGTTTCGGTTGCAATAAGAAACTGTAATTTGCAAAAAGAAAATTATAAAGAGTATGCGTCATCTATTTGTATATTTGTGCAACAGCAGATTCTAAAATATTCTCTGGGGACTTTCTGTATGCTTTTAATAGATCTTGATGACTGGCTACATTTTTACTTTAAATTTTTCGTTAGTTTAATAATCTATGTGTTTTAATACACTATATAGTTAGAATCTCGTTGGTTTTTAAATCGGGTATAAATCAATCAAGTAAAAAAACAGCGAATACAAAAAATCTTAAAAATCTTATACAGTGAAATCATTGGTTCTTTCTCAGACCAAATGGATCCGGGCCCTTTGCGCGTCTTACAAAAGAAACGAACCACTAATTTCCGTGAAGACGAAACCAAACTGTTAATACAACTATGGGGCAGTCCGCAAATACAAAACAAACTCTACCTCACACATCGAAAAGCCCCCGTTATGAGGCTTTTGGCTGCCAATATGCAACATCGTGGATTTTACAGAACCCCCGATGAGATCAAAACGAGACTGAGGAACCTGAAATGCTTGTACCACCGAATTAAGAGGTCTGTGCAGACTGGAGTAGGCAGAGGAACAGTCGATCCTGATTGGCCACATTACAAAGCCATGGACGAGATTCTTAGCAAAAAGAAGCACAGCAGACCCCAGGACATCTACAAGGATGGCAACATCTTCGAAGGTCCAAGATGTGAGGATATCAAGCAGGAGATCATCGATGAGGAGCTCGATATCAACGATGATATGGATTCATACACCACCAACAGCCTTGGGGGGTAAGTTTGTCTTTATTTTTATTTATTTGCCCCGTTAATTTCTATTACAGGTTTCCACTGATAATTACTTGGCATAAGAACTAAAAAATGTATGATAAATGATTTTTTCTACAAAAATTTTGGATTTTCCTATATGCACATATAGGCCTGCATTTAGGCCTCCTGTCCCTGCTCAATGTCCAGCGTCACAGTTATCCGATTATTGTTAACTTTGTTTAATTTTTTATTTTAATTGTAAATGTCATTTTCCTTTTTGTTAGAAAACACATTCTCTGTGTGGTTCTTTGGAAATAGACAGAGAAATATTCCTTGACTATTTTTATTACATTTATTCTTCAGTCTAGGTCTTTAAATGCATATTCCAGTCTGTATTGAAGAGTTTAGGTCGAAATCCCCTTCTTATTATTCTAATAGTTTGTTATGATGGTAGAATTAGCATATCCATTTTATAAGGCCGAATTCAGACCAGCACTATAATTTTTTGACAACTTATTACGGCAAGAAAAAATGATTGCTGGAGCCGTTTCCAAGAAACAATGAGCATGCTAACTATACGGTAAAACAAACTAGCATTGCCACAGCTATATCTCGGCAGGGAACAGGGCTAGAGACCCATCTTAGCGGCATATGTTATTGTTAATTAATCCTCAAAAACTGGCCCATCATCCCCTAGCGCAAAACTCACCCCCTTGAAAATTTGAGATATCGGCCAAAAACGATGAAACTAGAGAAGTGAATCGCAAATCCCCAAAAACTACCTCATCATCCCCTAACGCATACCTCACTCCCGGAAAATCCAGATATCTGCCAAAAACGATGAAACTAGAAACATCAATCGCAAGGAATTAATCGCTATTAATTGCTAAAGTTCTATGACAAGGAACAATTTATTGCTGAAACCGTTTTCGAAAAACAATGGGTATGCTAACTTTATGGTAAAGCTAATATAGCCATAGCTAAATCTAGGCAAGGAAAAGAGCTTCTGGGCATATATTGAGGCATATTTTATTGCTAATTAATTGCTATTTTTAATTGACATTGACCAATCCCTAAAAACTACTCCATCATCCTTTAACACAAGACTCACTCCCTTGAAAAATTGCGATACCGGCCAAAAACGATGAAACTAGAAAAGAGAGCTACAAGGAATTAATTGCAAATTTATTGCTAAATTTTTACACCAAGAAACAATTTATTACCGCAACCGTCTCCGAGAAACAATGTTTATGCTAACTTTGTGGTAAAAATACGTAGTCATAGCTATATATCAGCAAGGAAAAAGGCTACAGTTCCCATCTTGGTGGCATATTTTATTGCTAATTAATTGGTGTTAATAGGTACACCTACCAACCTCCAAAAACTACCCTATCATCACCTACCGCAAAAGTCGCGATCCAAAGAAAAATCAGCCAAAAACGTAGAAACTAAATAAGTGCACAAGCTTATAAAAAATGATTCCTTAATATCAAATCACAAAAATTAATTTTTCGCCTGGAGCAATGAGTTATTTGAGTCATTCTGAACAAACAAGGTCCGTAGTAACTTTTCTTAAAGTTTATCGTTGTTGGGTTATAATAGGCGATTGAAATTTTGAATAACGCGATAAAAATCATTATTTTTGAAGTTAAAAAGTACATAAAGTTTAAATATGCATGTACTTACAAGATTCTGATGTGTTTTTCAAAATTATTTTATTGCAAAACCCTTTCTTTAATTGGTAAACCTATAATGCATGTCTTTTTTAAATTCAACAAAAGAAGATATAAATACTAAGTATTTACGTTGTCTTTATTGGTAAAAAATAACAAAAAGTTCCGTCAATATTAAAAAATTTAAAAATCTAATGTTGCAGATGTGCAACAACATGGGTTATCACTTTTTTAGCAGACCCCAGTATGGAACTTTTTAAAACAGTTTTCGTATTGAAACACAAATTCCGGCCACATTTTTCAGAACACGAATACCAATCATTTCTTCTACTGAACTAGAAGATGGGCGTGCCCGTTTATTGTTGATGGTTTGTCCAATTAGGCACAGGCATTTTGCTACTTCTGTTCGAAATTGGAAAATGTGGTACTTTCCATTTCTTTATTCTGCTTCTCTTTGCCAATTCTTCTATAAAGTATCCAAGAATTAGCAAGTGTCGTATCCAGAAGACGGTGAAAGATACAGATGTACCCGTTCTTGTTTTTAATGAGAATTTTGTGTCGAGCTATGTTGATATTAAGTAAATCTACCCCGCCCATATGTTTATTATACTCGGTGACAATGAATAGGCATTATATTTTTTGAAACACCCATCCCAGTGGAGTTTTT